ACACCCTGAACAGGTCGCCACTCTTTCGCAGGGTTGATGCATACAGACAGACAACCAGTCACGCTGGCATTCACAAATAAACACTTCACAACCGCATTCATTAATTAGTAGACTGTTTACTTACTGTTTGAGGGGATACACATCTACCGCACTTGTGGACTATTGTATAGATGACAAAAAAATAAATTTCAGTTGGTTTATATAAGCCGAAGGGCATCCAGAGCTGATGTTTTCCTCTATTCCTCTTGCTAAAGCCTGCGATTTGGACCTTGACATCTCTGTTCGCTGTGGCAGTATCAAAGGAAAATTTGTTTCTATATTTAATATTACTTGATTTTCATCCAATGTGCCTGACGTGTTTCTGTCTTTGATGTACTCTTCTCTCACAACTTTGGATCCTCACTTCTGCCTTTGTGTTGGAGGAAAAACTGACAAACCCAATGATGATAAATGTGTGTGAAAATAGCAACAAGCAATGTTGGATGAGTAGATATCACCAAGAAATGTGTGATTAATTAGCAATAAAAACAAGTGTATGACTGCGATAACCAAAAGCAGGGCTGTATCACTTTGAAGCTGCCCAAACTTTGACCCTGAAGTATAAACCCCAGGAGACATATTCTCTCACAGGACTACACATTCAGCAAAGCACAATATCAAAAAGAGCCTTAGACCCTGTTTGAAGGAATAATTTATATTATAATTAAATACATTTTAAAGGTTAAGACAAAACTGATCAAAGAAAGAGAACCCGAGTGACACAATGCTAAGAATAACCCAAAGCCAACGTTGATAATGTGCCTTTCAATCAAGCAACAATGCAACACTCAAGTTAGAATCTGTAGGATTGAGAAGAATCACTTGTACTAAATTAACTGCCATATATTCTGTTATAACCACAACGTTTACACAGAATTACAATGATTAGTTCAAGAGTAGCGCAAATAGCTTCCAGAGAACCACTGCTCGCCCTATGGTAGGCGGAAGAGTCTGTCTGTGTATTAGCCCTGGAAAAAAAAAAACGTTGGGACAGGCTCCAACCTACCTGCAACCAAAAAATTGATAAGTTTTGGGTTGCAAAAGGAATTTGTATGCCCTAGAGGAAATTTGTAATGCAAGAGTTGGCCCAGGCATGTACCGAAAGCTTTCAGCTGTTCCTTTATTCACAATGGTTCACCAGACTGGGTAGCTCCATGTGGTGTTCTTTTGTTTTTTTTCTTTAAATTTAGTAGACACTGGATGCCCTTCCTGACCCAACCCAACAGGTATTTGTGTCTCCTCTTAGTTCAATTCAATTCAGTTTTATTTATATAGCATCAAATCACAATGATAATTGTTTCAAGGCGCTTTATATTATAAGGTAGAGACCCTACAATAATACAAAAAAACCAGAGAAAACCCCAACGATCATATGACCCCTTATGAGCAAGCACTTTGGTGACAGTGGGAAGGAAAAGCTCCCTTTTAACAGGAAGAATCTTCGAGCAGAACCGGGCTCAGGGAGGGGCGGCCATCTGCCGAATGTTTAAACCAGTAAATTTGTATTGGTACAGTTATAACTGAAAAATACTTACATTTTTACTGACATGCGCTTTAATTTACCTGATATAAAAGCATAGGCAACTGTAACGTACGACCATAAAGTTTTGGGAATGGTTCTAAATAATATCAGTGTATGTGTGCTAAATCCTTTCCAGTGTGTCAAAATGATCATCCTTGAACTTAATTTTTATTTCTGCAAAGTGGACCAAGTTGCTGGGAGCAAATCTGGAGAGTGGAAAAGGTGGTGAGCTAAGATTGTGTTGTCAACACACTCTGTGCTGGCACAAGCTGGCACACACCGAAGGGTGTTTCCATCAAGTGTTCTTTCTCAGATGCCTCAGGACATTTAGGAGAATTTTGAAATTACAGTCCAGCCTGGGGGACAAATTGAGGGTTCAGAACCCCTGGAATGTTAAAGAAAACAATTATAGTCCTTGCTTTGCTCAGCACCTGGAAAAAAATGCCTTTGGGCTTGGAAACTGTTGGACTGAAAAGTGCTTGCTCGTAGCTGGAAATCCAGCGTCCATTGGCAGTGATGATTACTTCAAATAAAATTCAGGCCAGTTTGAAACAGAAGTTGATGTTTGTTCACAGCACAAGTTTGAGGTCCACAGTGGCATTGCAAAGCACCCAGGGCAATCTATAAATAGTAGCCTCAATGGGATCTGTCTAGACATGCACAACAAGATCATCTTGAATGTGAGAATGGCCAGTTTTAAATTAGGTCAGGTGTTTGATTTTTGAGTTTTGATTACACCTCATATTTCTAACATGGTAGCTGAAAGGAGTCTTAACACTATGTTGCATTGCTTTTATAAAATGTGATTGGAAGGTTTAAATAATTTCAAATTGTGGTTAACTTTAGCACATGTTTACTTGTTTCTGACTTGGATGCTGCCATTTTAAAATATGCTAATAAACTGAATCAAAGGTTTTCTATATCAACTCCAATTGGAATGAGGGAATAACTAGATGTAGCTGTTTAATGGCATAATATTTTTATATAATGCCTTTTTTGGACAGTACAACAACCACGGACTACTTGTTATGAGCTGTTATTGTAAAGTTAAACATCTAACACATGCATACACTGTAAGGTAAAAACACTGTTATAGGAATTTTAATGCATTCATTTACTGCAGTGAGGCTCTTGTCCTCAGTTCAGCTGATGATTTAAATGTAAAAGTGTCTCTGAGTGTGTTTAAGTACATACATCAGTATGCAGGACAGAGGGTTTAGATAGGGATGAACTAAAACGATCTCTCAGGTTCTGCAATGCATTTCCATAACCAAACGGCATTGTTTTCTAATGCTGAGGTGAATACTGATAAAAACCATATTTTAAGATGGTTTCTCCCATTTGGAGAGAAATACTCGTTTACTCAGATACACAACACACTCACTTAGGCATGCTTTATAGAAGACATAATAGTAAAATTCCCACTTTTATGTGCTTTCACGCTCGCAGTGCATACCCATATTTGCAAGAGAACAACACCGGCAAGCACATCACTAAGGCACACCCACACATTTACCAGCATATAGAATTCACATTTGATATTTCTTTCTTGTTTGGCAAAAAAAAAAATGTTTTCGGAAATATGACTTGGTTTGTTTTCTGTGTTTGTGTGTGTGAGCATGCATGTATGTGAATAAAAGGGAAAACTCAGAGTTTAGCTTTGTTCAACCACACAAATGCTGCACACATACACTTTCCCAAATGCTTTAAAAGAACACACCAGGAGGGAGAACAAAGAGCCTCCTTGAAGAATAGACATGAATTATTCACTCAATCAGATAAGAGGACAAAAGAGAGAATGAGAGAGAGACATAGAGAGAGAAATGGAGATGGAGTGTGGGTGATACAAAGAAAGAGACAGACTGATGGATTGACAAGGACAGTAGGATTTTATGCTGTATTACCAGTAATGACAAGAAGGCCCTAAGGAGATTTGAAATTAAACAACACGGCTTGCTATCATCCTCTAAACTGCTCCCAAAAAAACCACAAGGTGTAAAACTAATAAATGGCTTTAACTAAATAAATAGAATAACTCCTTCTTTAGGTACATTGCAGTACTTATCAGTAAAAGCCAGATGCTTTGGAAATCTGGGTCTTTTTCTTAGCAGTGAGGTGTTTACTTTAAGGAAAAAGTTTATCCAGTGTAAATCCACAGGCAGCAACAGCTTAGCTGTAGAATCTTTGCTGCTTTTCAGCCAGATATGCTTTATCAGATCTAATATGGTGCTTCTTTTGTGTTCTACTGCTAATGCAGTGAGGCTGTAGTAACTTCAGTAGCAGCAGACAATTCAGGTATTCTATCTAATATAATGAAACTAGTGACAACAAAGTGTAGCTGCCTTATCAGCTTAGCACAGTTGTTGCCTGTATTTTAGTGCTGTGGTGGTTTTTCTGGTGCAGCTGACTTGGCCTATTTTATGTGCTGGAGAGTAAATACATATTTAATTAGGTTACAGTCTGTTTTTACATAATATTAATTGTTGTGTAATATTCTTGGTTGTTAGCCCAGTGTTACATTTGCACTTATAAAACATAAATACAAGATTCATTGCCAAATAATTATACTGGCCTGTGTAGATACATATATAGGTCAATATACAAGCATTTAATAGGATAAAACAGTAAAAGTTAGACAAAAAGTTAAAAAAGCTCACATGCGACTGAACGCTATTTCAACTTTCTTCATTTAGCTGACATCATTTCCCCTGCCTAGTCATTCATCGACATGTGAATGAAGTTAACTGTGATTCGTACATTTCCACAGGCAAAGTGTGTGTTTCTCTTTGTCTTTATGCTTCATGCAGCACTTCCCCCAATCTGGCTTTGTCCACATCAGCAGCAGTATGGCTACACAAAGTTAGTAGTGAGATTTCCATATTCACCACAGGGCATGCATTATGACAGGTGAATACTGATACAGCTCAAACCCCTACAGTCATGACTGCTAATGGGCCATTGGCCTATTACAACTTATATAGCTGGTTGCAAACATTCACACATCATAATGAGTAACACATGACAGTAATGAGGTTTATTTCCCCTTTTGTTTTAGAAGAGAACCACTAGTAGTCCTGTAGTACTCTTGTAGTAATTACCACAAGGAGGAGAGATAAAAAAGATTGAAATAAGAGAGGATTGTAGGATAAACAATTGCATGAAAGACTTCAAAATCTCATACTTTATTCAATTGCTGGAATTAGGATGAGAGGCAGTAGCACAGAGCGAAAAAGAAAGAGAACCAACAGACTGGAGTGATTGCAGAGTCAGATTGAATTTCATGATTTATTCAATAGTCCCGGAGAATGAGAGAGAAAGCCAGGACGGTAAAGTGAGAGTGATTCAGAAAAAGAGAGTGAAAGAGCCTAAGAGGTTTTAAGAGACCCTGTAAGAAGTTTAATATCAGGTTTCCTAATCGTCTTTCTCCATTTCATCCATCAGCCCCATAGCTGGCAGAGAGAGGACGGCAGATCTTACACTACTACAAACAGGTAATCATGTTAATGGTAAACAGGGTGCACTTTCATTGCTGCAGGATGAGGCAATGTCAGAGGATTATGATGTTAGGTGGCACAGGACACCACATCTCTCCCCTTTAAATTCTGTTAATGCAGTTTAACTGCACCCCTCTCACCTGTCACACGCAGACATGAAAATCATATTGTGGTAGTTTACAGTTTAAAAATACGACGTATATGTGGAAGTGACTCACGTTGCAAGTTTTTAAATGGAAACTGAATGAAGCAGTTTTGGTCAGAAAGCTACAATCCATCGAGTTTAGCTGTGTGGCACAGTTATACTGTGTCAGTCAGGATTCAAAGGTATTTGTAGGACAAAAGTAGAGAAATTATGTAAAAGGACATGCAGATACAAATCCACGTCACTCCATTGGGAACATAAAAGTCTTTCTGAGCAAGTGTAAGCTCAAGCCAAACTTGCTTTAGATTAAATAGATTGGATGTGTGAATGAACAGCTGGAGATTTAGTTAATGGAAAAGGATACATAATTATATCCACAATAATAATATAATCATAACTCACGGGGCTTTAATAAATCTGATGCAAAATCAGTAGGACTTCTTCATTTTTGGCTGTCTGTTTCATGATCCACACGTCTGCAGTTTTTAGAGTTGCTGATTGGATACGATTGTGATAATTCACCAACATGCGGCCAATTGTTTCATCTGAGGCCCCGGGTGACACAGGAAAGGTCCTGACTGAATAATGTGACTGCGTTCCTACAGTAATCTGTCTCCAAATCTACGGGGAAGCCAACTACTTGTTTTCCGTTAGCAGCTGTTCAGTTCGGAATGACAAGAATCCAGTGGAACACAGACAAGGCACATGGTCCACAACAGCTCCAAACACACACATACCCACATACTGGGTCAGGCTGCCAGATGCTGCCCAGACAAGGTAATTGAGAGGAGGAATGGAAGGACAAAAGGAGCAACAAGGGGAAATGAGAGAAAAGAAAGTGCGAAAGAGAGAGAGCAGTGCTCGTTAAGCCCTGAGGAGGAAGGTGCGAATGTCAAGAGAAAAGGAAACAGGAAACACAAGATAGTCATATTTGAGAAGTGTGAAAGGATGAAAAGGGACTGAGTGACACAGGAGAGGAGGAAAGTCACATGGGGTGGCACAGTCAGATGGAGAGAGAGACTTCGGAACAGGAGCTCCAGGGGTCAAATTAGAACAGTATGCATCATACTGCATCACCCATGAGGAGTAGGTGAATACAAAGGTGACAGGGGGACTGCAGGATGACAGAAAGCACAGTAAGTTGTGAGGAGTAGCTAATTAATGTTAAATATATTTTTTCAAAAGTGATTTTTAAAATTTGCCAAATAAGAACATGCAGGGATGTTAAGGGGAAAAAGAAGACAGGAAAAGGGTAGAGACCGCAGAGACAAAAAAAGCATACTGATGTACAGGTTTGTATTTGTTCAGTAGATCTACTTGTTTGATTTATGATTTTGCTTTATTTATGATGACTAGTAGGGGGTTCATTTAAGAGTTACTATATTACTTTCTACAATTCCATTCCTAATTTTGCTGAATGTCAAATGAATGAATGAAGTTGCATTATCAATCTTAACTTAATGAAATGCCATACCTGTTGTCTGTACTTGGCTCTTGAAGGATGCCATTGTCACAGAACATCCATCAGTTTTCTATCCAAGTCAGGGTCTCGGGGGGGCTACAGCCCATCATAGCTGTCACTGGGCGAATGGTGGGATACACCCTGGACGGGTCGGCAATCTATTAGAGGGCTAACACAGAGGGACAGGCAACTAGACCTAGCTCCAGTTTAGAGTCTTTGGACTGTGAGAGGAAGCTGGACTACCTGAGGGAAAAAAAGGTTCCAGCTGGCCGTCAGATTCAAACCCAGGAACCCACCTCTTTTTTTATTGGGCATTTCACAATGAATTAACCATTATTTTATTGAGGGCAGTGTCACGTATAATTATTAGGGGTGCAACGATATTCGTATCGATATTGAACCGTTCGATACAGTGCTTTCGGTTCGGTACGCATATGTATCGAACAATACAATTTTAAAAAAAAATTTAATTTTTTTTTTTTTTGTGTCCCGTTTGGATCTATAGCCATCAGAATTG